TACTTTAAAGTGTATAAATAAGTTACCCGGGCAATTGATTTACATTAGCCAATCAAACGAATGTCTGACCATGAGGTTAATAATATATACTAAAAATTAAACTAGCTAATTGTTGAACGTCTATTTAAAATTTTTTAATAAATTAAAGAAACACCTATTTTCATCATAAAAACTTACAGTATAGCGCTCTATAAAGTATCCCTTCAAAAAGTACCCCATAGAATAGTGCCCGGGTATTAATTGGTCTCATGCTTCTGGAAATCATTATATATCTGAGTATTATACAGTATCATATACTGTATTGAATAGTATTCTTGGTTAGTACAAGTTTTCCAGGTACTTTATAGAGCGCTATACGGTATTATTTTCACCATGGTCATCATTTGTAAATTTTCATGGTGGAAATAAAATGTTTTCTAAATTAAAATTTAAAATATGTATTAATTAATTGCAATTATCTATAGGTGCAAAATAACATCCAAGAGTATAATTTCAGATTATGGTCTGCATTAAATTTAACTTAGACCATAATGCAAAATAATACTCCTGAATGTTATTTTGCTTTTATTAAAGTAAAGTTAAATTCATCAATTTTTTTTTTTTTTTAATTCAGATTCCATCAAGAAATCGTACGAGGTCTAAAGTTTTGGATCATTTGTTTGAATTCATATGGCGTTGGCAGAACAAAGAGAATCTTTGGAAGAAGCTGTTGGAGTGTATGAAGAATACAGGGTATTTTAAGGAAGAAGTAAATGAAACAGATGAAGAAAATGAGGATAAAGAGGACGACGAAAAGGATGAAGAAAATGAAGGAGAGAATGATGATGACAATGAATATTATAATGAGAATGAAGAAAATGAGAGTGTGGGAGATAGAGAAGGGGATGAAAATGACAATGGTGATAATAAGAGTAATGAAGAAGAAAATGAAGAGAGTGAAGATAGTGAAGATAGTGATGATCAAAATGACAATAATAATGATAAGAATAATGAGAACGAAAACGAAGATGAAGATAGGGATGGTGATGAAAGTGGCGATAATATGTTATTATAAATATTGTTTTTAAAAACAATTAAAAAAAAAGAAATTTGATAATCATTTACTTACCACAAACATTAGCAGCTACCTAAAGGTATCTTTTCATATTCAAATCATTAATCCGCTATTTGTTAAATAATTATAGTTCGATTTATCAGATCTCTTTCTTTATTAGATATATGTAATGTTGTGGTGTGTTCTTAATAATTGTTGGGCATAATCATTGCGGCATATTCCTACTTGAAGTTGTGTTCTACATTTCATTTCAAATGAGAAAATGTTTGATGCTGTTGTGTATTGACCACTGTCTAAAGTTTCTAGTTCTATATATGGTAAAACTTTATAAACCCCACGACATTCTTCCTTAGTACAATACTTGTTTAATATCGAAAGTTCTGTAATATTACTGCTATGTAATCCCAATAAATAAGTTCTTGAGAATAAATTTTTTGTAGATCAAAAAAAATTACAATTTCATAACACTGCAATAGTTTAAAACCATTATTCGAAAAAGCTTTAACCATCGTGGTGATAACTTTCATTGTACCTGTAAATAAGGCTCTAGTTGAATAATACTTGTGAGTAAGTCTTTCTAATTCCCCTTTCTGATATTTAATATTCAAATTACTAACTTACAATTTCATATTCATAACAGCGTTCAATATGATATATTTTAACAATATACCCTATTATTAAAGTTTTTTGATGATACTTGAAAGCCGTTTACATACCTCTCTTAACTCCAATTTCTTCTTTGTGAGAACGATTTAAAATTAAATGATTAATTTTTTGTACTTAATATTTATATTTATGTCCTAAAGAATTAGTTTAAGAATCTCTAACTTTAAAATAAAAAAAATTAAATATATATTAATAAATGCCATTTACACCAGTAGCAAATGGCAGTTTAATTCCCATATAATAATTACCTACCTTAGCCGACTTTAAGTAACGTATAGGCACTTTATGTTTATCAACTTTAACTCTATTTCTAAATAATACCTTCAAAAAATAGTAAAGATCGAACTTAGATTAGTGAAAATGCTGATCTCTTAATCATGGCTGGGAATTTTATACTATTTAGAATCTTGACCAATACTGGTTTCTCAATCATGACTGGAATTTTCTACTACTTGAATCTTTGACCATGATGGCATCTTAAATCTTTAATTTTAACCTTTACACATGTAATGCTTTCAACTTGGAATTCGTTATCTGGAACGATAAGGTTTTTTTTACTAATGCGTGTAATATAGCTAATTCAAATTAGGTAATACAATGCATAGATCACATGTAATACAATACGCAAATCTCATTATTATATAATGCCGTAATGACGGGTTTGAAAATTTTGTCTACTATATCCTATTTGATCTGGTAAAATTTCCAGAAACACTGGGATAAGCTATACTATATTTGATTCAATATCCTTATCGATTTTAATCGATAATGTTACTAATCATTAATTTACTATAAATGATTATTATCAATTAATTTTTTATCGATAATTATCGATAAAAAATTAATCGATAATAATCGTTTATAGTAAATTAACAATTAGTAACATTATTGATTAAAATTAATAAGGATATCTAGCGATTACAATCACTACCGTCGGTTCTTATTGATTAAATTTAATCGATAATAATCGATTAATTGTTGGTAATCGTAACCTATCAGCTTAAAAAATTTCCTGATGTATATAATATAGAGTATTGGCAAAAATAAAAATTAATAATAATAATAAAAATAAAATCTAATTATACAAAGGCTATAACAAAAATAAAAATAAAAAAAAGTTAGTTTTTGTTTATTTATAAGATTATTTTAAAAATAACAAAAGAATGCCAAATAAGTCTAAATTAAACAGTTTAAAAAACAATCAAGAAAAAATAAAATTGAGCTTAGATTTGAAATGCTAAGCTAAAAAAAAAGAAACAAGAAAAAAGATAAAGAGAAGTTATATAGATAGAAAGCAAATAAAAAGATTATAATAGAGATACTATTTAAAAATATAATCAAAAATCAAATTAAAAAAGATAAAATACAGAAGGCTTGCTAGCAGTTGCTTGAAAACTACAAGAAAAAGATAAATTACTTTCTATACAAATAGATCACTATATAAAAAAAAGAAGCTTTAAAAAATATAGTTAAAAGCAAAGTAGATAGCAATTATAAAATATAAAAAAAAATTGCTATATATTAAGGACTCATTATTGTTAACATAAGCAAAACTAGATGCTATTTGAATAGTTTTATTAGTAGTATCTAAGAAAGCAAAAATTATTTTAGGCTCACTACTATATAAACATTTAAATACAATGAGAATATATAAAAAAAATGTTAAAGCTTAAGAATACAAGCCTTTTGTAGCAAATCGAAAAGATATAAAAAATAAAAAATCTAAAAGTACAGCTAAAGAAGGTTAAAAGATATAATAAAAAGTAAAAATATATATTATAATTTTATAAACAAATTAGTAAAGAAAAAGCAAAATAACAAAGAATAGCAATATCAAAATGGTTATAAATAAACCTACTATGAATATTAGCAAAATAGAATGATATTATAATAAATATCCTAATAAAAAAGTTATAAATAAAACAACAATATTAATATTAAATATAAAATTAGTAGATCTAAACAAAACTAAACATATATATACAACTCTTCCTGACAATCACTTGTATCAACCTAACACCGAAAGCAAGTTAAAGATTCAAGCCTAGAAGTTGACAATAAATTGAAGTTTTCTTGATACAAACTGTTATCAACAAAGTCTTTAAACATGATACACTAAGGAGCAGACATTTTAGACAGTTTGTAAAGGGATCAAGCCTTGGTTTGCTACTATTTCTTGGGTGGACTCCTCTTTGTGTTTGGCATCTAAACCAGAGAAGTCTCTGAGAACAGCAAGTAGAAAAGAAAACTAAAGTTAGTTTGAAGATGAAAGACTTTGAAAAACTCTTAGAACAACACTCTTGGTTGGAAAACTCACAAAAACTCGATATTTCCTTGCTGTTTTTTGGCTTCAAAATTTTCAACAAAAAGTGGGGAATTCGGCTTACCTCCTCCAAAAGATCAGCATTGTTTACTACTTCTATATCGGGAAACTAGATGATAACAAATTAGCATATATTACGAAATGAATGAAATGATAACAACAAGTAACATGGAGTTTTTAAAGTTCTTATACTTTTGAATGAAGATATGGATTTAATTGGGAAAAGTCAAACAAAGTGTTTTGAGATATACAATGTGTCTCTTGTATATAATTTTTAGCCTCTGTCACAAGTTATAGTGCAATTTGTTTTAGTTTTATGTTTCTATTTTTGTCAAGACTCTCATACTTAATAGTAGATTGTTACTCTGTATAATTAGAAGTTTTCGTCTGATTAACAAGTTTTCTTCTTTTTAGCGATAGTTTCTTTTAGATTTTTAGTTTAGTTTTTTATATTCCTTAGTATTTGTATTCATTTTTTAATGTATTTATTTTTATTACATACCCTTTTTTTCATTCTCTATTATCCTTTTTTTTTCTTTTTTCCTTCTTTACGAGAAAGTGTCATTAGTTTGGCAGCATTCTATTGTAGAGCGGAAATCTTGATGGAGCGAGCAACAGCCAGCCAAAGAATCTGGGAGAAATAAGTCTGGAGTGAGTTTTAGATCTCTGGAGGAGGCAAAGTGTTGCTAGGCAGGTCGCATCTGAGCAAAACACAGCGGTTTAATGGTTCGCCCTGACTGCAAGTGGATGTTTCAGCATCTGCGAGATATGCTGTGGATAAGTTTACTTTTTGGTTAGAATACTATAGATTTAGATTTCTTCGTATGCTGATATAGAAATGAAAGTCTATTTTTATAATAAAGTAAACAGGATTGCTGAAGGAAAAAAAATAAACAAAACCAAAAGATAGTTAAATAAAAATAAAAAAAAAAATTAGATTAAAGAAAAATATAGAAATAAATAGATAAAAATATAAAAAAAAAAATATATAAAAAGAAAAAAATAAAAAGTAAACATTTCAAATCAAATATCTAAATAAATTATTGCTAACTTTAACAGAATCAAATACAAGAAAACCTAAAGTTTATAAAACAAATATGTATATAATATATAAAAACAAGATAGAGAATTTGTATTATTATTATTTTTTTTTGTAGTCAAGGTTAGTCTCTTTGGCTTCCTGCTTTTATTAAATTTATAGAATTATGTAATGCTTTTTTCAAGGGGGCCCCAGACAAGTATATTTTGATGAGAATACATTCTAGTCATACCTGCACCTTTTGAGCGCCTAATTAAGTATCTGCCTATTACTAGATTCTATACTAGATGCTGTACCTATAACCTACTATTATTTGAGTTATCCAATTAAACCCTCTGATCTGAGTTTCCTGCCAATCCATCTAATCTCACCCAAAACATGCAATATATAAGTCAGTCCAAATTCCAAGATCATTGCGTATCTACCTATAGGACTACCGGCATGGTTAACCGATTTATTCTTAAGTGCATCACCTGCTAGAGCAGTCCAGTACCCACTATTACTATATTATCTAGTCTACTTCAATAATTTACGCCTAGACCAAGACCAAGTACTTGTAAGCTGAAGCCACTACCATTACCTGTCGCAGATTAAAATGAAATCTGATTAAAATGAAACTGGGGACCTCTTATACCCACCCTTAGAGCCTATAAAACCCACATATACTCATTTATTAATAAACCTAACCCTAAATCCTACTCCTAATGCTAAAAAGAACTCCAAAAAAAGTCCTCCAAAAAATTTTAAATTTTCTTTAAAAAACAGAAAAATTTCATTTTGATCAGATTTCGTTTTAATCTGTGACATTACCTACTATGCTCTTATAGAGTTTGTCCAGACTCTAGCACCCACTATACAGACTATCCACTATATATCTATTGTCCCAAACTTCTAATTCAGATAACTCAGAAGGGCTATAATCTGCCCTTGGTCCCTACAGTTAGGTTCTTTTCCTCTAGTTACTCTCCAGCAACCTGGTTAGTGGAGTGCCTTGCTAAATACTTTGGTTCCGTTCGGTTCTCCGGTTCCTGATTAATAATCTTTTACATAGTACTGTCGAAGATCTGTACTACCTCTTTACTTAGGTTTTGCCAAGCGGACTTTCGTGTACACTGACCTCAGATTTATATGACTGCTTCACTCGGGTTTTATATAACTCATATATTACACTATTGTTCTACAGTCTCTCAGTATGAGCTGATATGATCTAGTTACAGATATTGATCTGCTTTTATACTTATAGTTGCTGTAATACTGTACTGAAAATTCGAATTTTTTTCGTCGCCAGTAGAATTCAAACTCTGTTTCTGCTACTTGGTGGTACGACAACTTCACTACTTTACTAAGTTGCCACATCTTAAATTTATATTATTTTGTTAAATATAAAAAATATTAAAAAATATAAAATATTTTTGAAGAAGAGTGTAGCAACTTAGTGAAGTTGGCAAGTTGTTGCATCCTCAAGCAGCAGGACTAGAGTTCGAATCCCACTAATGACAAAAATTCGAATTTATAGAAAATGCATTTGAATGATTGTATCCTATTAGATTATAGAATCTGTAATGGTGGTTATACTAGCTTGTACTAGGAAGTAGTAGAATATATAATGTAATGTATGAGTTACACAAAACCCGAGTGAAGCTATCAGATAAATCTAGCGAATTTACAGGATACAGAAGCCTGCTTAGCAAGACCTGAGTGAAGAGATAGCACAGATCTTCAATGATTACTATGTAAAGGATGATCAACTAGATACTGGAAAACTGAATAAGACTGAGGTATTTGGCAAGGCACTATACTAACCAGACTATCAGATAATCAGAGGAAGGGTTCTGCCCTTCTGGGCTATCGAATTGAGAGTTTAGATTTCTGAAGGTATAGAAAGGAGTCCGTAAAGTAGGTACCAGGATTTGGGTAAACTCTACAAGGGCAGTAGTAGGTAACTGTAGCGGCCTCAGTAGATAGAAAACGGATTTTTTGGCACATTGCATCCAAATAGGACCAGGAGGTTGCCCTGAGTATCAATTCATAGTTTACTATAGGTGGAGCGAAGCGGAGCCTTTGTGCGAAGCGAAATGAAGCACATGTAAACAAACCATAAAGCATAGTTTTTGGCACATTGCATCCAAATAGGTCCAGGAGGTTGTCCTAGGTATCAAAAAAATATGAGGCAAATCATAAATACAAAACATGGTTTATCATAGGCAGAGCGTAGCGGAGCCTTTGTGCAAAGTGAAGTGAAGCACATGTAAACAAACCATAAAGCATATAATAAATGCAATTCATAGTTTACTATAAGCGGAGCCTTTGTGCGAAGTGAAGCGAAGCACATGTAAACAAACTATAAAGCATATAATAAATGCAATTCATAGTTTACTATAGGCGGAGCGTAGCGGAGCCTTTGTGCGAAGCGAAGCGAAGCACATGTAAACAAACTATAAAGCATATAATAAATGCAATTCATAGTTTACTATAGGCGGAGCGTAGCAGAGCCTTTGTGTGAAGCGAAGCGAAGCACATGTAAACAAACCATAAAGCATATAATAAATCCTAATATTATAAGACAAATAGGTTTACTTATAGATAAAAAAATCGTGATAAAATGCATACATATTGGGTTCCAGAAATATTTCTAGAACATCCTTGGCACTAACCTGTTACTAGCCTGGCACTAGCCTATCACTAATCCATCACTAGCCTAAATTTTTGCAAGCTTTTGGCATTGATAAAATTCTCGAATACGATATTTACCTGCATGTTCCCTACAAGCATTATAAATAGAGGAAGTTAATTTTCCGCATTCTATACAGGGAACTCGGTTAGGAGATTTCCAATGAACCTTACACCCTTCTGCTCGATAGCACCCCTCATTGCATACTTCTCCGGACCTAAGAATATATGGACATTTATAAAATCCCATACTAGTTTGTTCTTTTGAATAAATATGTAACTCTATTTATCTGAATAAATTAATTTTTATTTTAAACTTTTTTGTAACCATATATAATCTTTAGGAAAAAATGAGCGAAATACTTGGTAGTATCACCGGCGCATTAGGACGATTGTTCAAAAATCTCTTACCAAGCTGGGGAGACCCGACGCCACCCAAGTTACCCGAACCTTCTGAGCCACCAGTACTAGAAGAAGAGCCGGGGTCGGAAGAGGAGGGGGAAAACGACTATAAGACCGCTTTAGCCTACCAAAATACCGAAACAAGATGGTATTCAGCAATCCGGAGATTCCTATTCTGGAAAAAGCAAGGTAATAATATTGAGTTCTATGATGGAAGTACACAATGGACTGGCTCTGAAAATGATTTTCGTGTTTTATTACGAGATTGGTTTGTAATCAAAGCCAATCTGAATGAAACACTTCAGGAAGCCCATAAATATTATAATGAAGAAGCTGAAGAAATATTATGGCGAAGTAATGGGCAAATAGACCTATGAACAACTAGAACTTATGCTTCAGCAAGTTTGCGTTTCTTTCAAGATGTTACAAGAGTTCCTAGAAAAGCTAAAGATTTATCACAA